AAAAAAAAAAAAGACATTTATTTTCTTGAATGGAAAGACCAAGGGGCCTAGGCTTCCATCTTCCTATGAAAGGTCTCCCTATTCCTGGAAACCTTTTCTTCTTCACTTTGGATTTTTTTGTTGATCCTTGAAGCCCTTGACATAAGAGGACTGATCTAACCAACACCTCCTCTACTGCTTTTTAAAGCCAGAACTTCATTGTTTCTTCTTCTTCTTCTTAAAAAATAACTATTAATTAATTTTACTTATCTATTCATTTACTTTAATTTGATGAGAGAGAGAGAGAGAGAGAGAGGAGAGAGAGAAAGAGAGAAGGAAAGTGAGAAAGCAAGCCACCAAGTCTGGGACTCAAACCATGGTCGGCATGAGGAAGTCCAGTGCCTCAGCCAACACACCACTTGTCAGCACCCAGAATTTCATTGTTTTTATCAGTTCTTAGCCCTATAATGTTTCAAGTTCTAGGTAATTGCTTACATGGGAGCCTGTTTTTATATAGCATCATATTTGCCTTTTAAAATTCTTATTTTAAGCCTAAAGATACTTCTCCCAATACTTCTCATAAATCATGGGAGAGACAGTATCCTCCTGATGACTTTATTATCCTTTTCCCAAAAAATAGAGACAGATGCATTTATTTAATAACGATTATCCTTTGTCCTGCCAGTGGGCTACAGGCTTCATTGAACTTTGGTTTGGAAATTCCCTGTGGATTTTCGACGATTATCCTCTGGTATTTTTGGTGCTGTTGAAATGTATCTTTCTCTATGTTTTTATGAAGGCAGATCGAGAAGCACTAGCCTTCTAGTACCTCCTTATCTCAGATTACCTCAGTTGTGTTTACAGCATGGATAATCTTCAGACTTTGAATACAGAGCACAATTTATGTAAATTTTCAGAATATCTTGAAGACTAACTGTAATTATTTGGAATGTCACCTTCTCTTTCAGCTGAATTTTATTCTGTTTCTGAATACAGTCAGAGTCTTGGCTACCAAAATTCGAGAGACCAATGCAGTTGGGCATGACACAAGAAAGCAATACAGGTAATTCCAGAACAGACATCCATCAGAGAAACACTTTGGTCACTATTCAGACCAAAGAACAAGTACTGATTGATATGAAATGTCTTTAATGGGTTAAATCCATGCATATGTGTGTGTGTGTGTTTGTGTATGTATGTGTATATATTTTTTATCAATTGTGTGATTTATTGGTAATGTATGTATATTTTAGAAGAAAATAAATAACTCTGACCTTCCTCTTCTACTTAAATGTCGAGTATGAATGTTTTACCTTTTTCTCTTTTTAAGAGATTTTTGCTATAGGGTATGTGTAATCACCAGAGACACAGAGAGACAGAAAGTGAGAAATCATACCCAGGCAGATGGCCATGACACAATCCCTTCTCCCCCATTCTCCTCTTGGGACCTTTGGCATTCATGTGCACCTGCCCAGTGTATTTCAAGCTATTGTCTGGGACTCGAAATGCAATCAGACATGTGGGAGTCCAGTGTCTTAACCATTATGCCACCTGCTGGCCCTGTTTTATCTGTTTTTAATAGATTGGAATTTTTGCATAAGCCATATGAATGCCCAGAAGATCTCCATTTTAAAAAATATTATTGGGAACCAGCAGTTAGCGTAATGGCTATGTCGCTGGACTCCCATGTAGTCAACCGTGGTTCAAGTCCCGGACCCGGTGGCTTAAACTCACGCCAGGCACGTGTGCGTGCGTGCCCTAGATCCCAAGAGGAGA